GCAGATAATTAATAGAATTTGTTTCACCTTGAATTATTTTTTTTACAGAAAACGAATATCAAAAACTCCAAATAATCACAAGGCCTTTTTCTGCAATAAGTGCAGAAGCAGATTCTCTAATGCCAGTGAACTTGGGATACACATTTTGCAGTGCGGGACAATTCAAGATACCAACATTTCAGAAACAGTAAATAGTGATAACATGGACAAAAATTGCAACCAGAAAGAGAACGAAGCCAAAGAGACTGATCTGTTGAAGGACCTTCAAAAGATCCATAATTCGATAACAGAGCTAGGAAAAATGAAAAAGAACAAGCAGAAGAACAACAAAAAGCCACAAAAGCCACAGAAAGAGGCTGAAAATGCGGATATTCTACACCATACTGAACTGACAATGAAAGTCAAAGTCTTTGTTAATCCCTCCAAGCAAACTTCCACTAAGCTCACAGGTGCTTCCCCTGACTTTAATGATGCAGATAAGTCGCTAGAGAAGGATATTCCAAAGTTGGAAGACTCATCAGTAGGAGAAATTGTATCCGGCAATACTGACGACTTAGAGGAATCGTACGACTCCTACACCTTCAGCTCGAATCACAGACAACTGACTATTTTAAAATGTGATAGCTGCGATTACAACACCAGGTCCTTTCAAAAAATTGAACAACACGTATTAATTCATCTGAACCGACTGAAAGAACATACTAAACTGGTTTGTCCTCATTGCTCTAAAAGCTTTGAAAATATACTTCAAATGTACCAACACTCCAAAAGTAAGCACTTTCGCTGTAACTACCAGTTGTATCATTGGTGCGTCAATTGCTCAAGAATATTCTCAAATGAGAAGGCCATTAGTGAGCACTTCAACAGTTGCCCTCGTAAGAATTATGTCTGCAAACTTTTCAGGAGCAATCGAAACATGTTCTGTATGCTTTGCAATTATGAATCGGACAACGAAAAGGAAGCCAAGGCCCACCGAAATTCCTGTCAATTCAAGAAATTGACTGTTGTTGGCGACACTATCGAAATTGATTGAGGAAGATGCAGTTTATTTAATTAAGATATGATACAAATTCAGATATGTAAGTTCCAGGTAACATTCTTGTATATTGTAAAAAACAATTTTATCAAAACATTGCATTGTTAAGGTTGACTATTTTTGTTTATATAATAATAAATAATTCAGAAATTATGTCAATGTTGTTGATTGACAACTAATTTCAGCTTCTGCCTTTGAATTTATCAAATAGGAAATAAACACTAGTTTCACCAAATGTGATGATTTGGATTCAATCAGAAGATGCAGGTTGTCTAAAAAATTATTATTTCCCTCGATGCATAAAAACAAAACGCTAAGAAGCGTTTACAGAACTTCACCCTGATTGAATGCACTAAACCTGTTTAACCGAATAATTTCACATACCTACCTCTAAAAATTTGGATTTCAAAACTGAGTTTATAGTATTATTTCCTTTTTCTGGAAATAATCACATCTATCTCTCACACACCAAGCTCAATTGATCAAAATGAGTGTTAAACCCCATGATTTTGGAAAATTTGCTGTTGCTAATGTTCTCATGTAAAATAATTGAAGATAAAATGAAATGTACGGCAATGTGTTTCAATCTTTCCTAAAAAACAAGCTACAAGTAACTAAAATAGTTGAATCAGCTTTAGACCGAACGATTTGTGAGTTTTTAGTATTGATTCGGCCGTTATTTGATGAAGATCCATAGTAGGTAATTTCATAAACTACACCTTACGATTTGATCTTCACAAACTTTATTTTTAAATTTAATAGTCAATTTTTGATTGATTATTCATCAGAAAAAAATGTCATTTATTAAGTTTGAACTACACCTTACGATTTGATCTTCACAAACTTTATTTTTAAATTTAATAGTCAATTTTTGATTGAATATTCATCAGAAAAAAATGTCATTTATTAAGTTTGAACAATTACTTCCAACATAAATTTTCGAAGATGTTTCATGTTGCTGCTGATCAGAAACAATAGATATTTCTTGAAGAGTTGATTCCTCAATTATATCAGATATTTTAATTTGTTTGAAGGAAGATGGACAATTCAATATTCTGTTAGAAATCTCAATTTTATTATTCAAACTATCTTCTTATGCTTCTGCTAGGAAGGCAGATTTTCAACCACCGCACCGTTTTATGGATGTGATGTTGCCCCCTGCATTGATCAGAAGACTTACAGAGCTTCTCCTGAAACATTGACTTGTGTAGCTTTTTTCCAAGCCATTTTGCAATAAAGCTGTAAATTTCTCCTATTTTATTCATCCCCCTACATGTTGGTTTTCCTCTCGAATATTCAAAAAATAATATGTTACTTTTTGTATGCGGTATATTTCAATGTAATCAATTAATAGGTCTTCGTATCAGGTATTTTAACAATCAATATATATTCAATGGCATTAATAGTTATATGTAATAATTCTTCATGGCAAAAAGCACATCTGATACCCAAAATTAGGACAACCTACAAATAAATAATATTGAAATTTCAACTAATCTTGCAAATATCGATTATATCTGTACCTTATAAAGTAAACTTGTTTCGTTATCAGCATCTAGAATAAATTTATTGATATCATCCCTTAACAAAGCTTCAGATTTCTTTCCTCGGTATCCAACGCTTTTGTTATCAACGAGCGGGACCAATTTTGAAAACTTANATAGGTATTTCCAGCCACAGATATTAGTACGGGTGCTAATAATTTCGTATCCCAACCACAGATTTTTATTTTCCTCTACGTCAGCATGTGTGGCCAAAAATCTGTGGATAACTTCACGCCAATATCAACATTTTAACTTTAGGATCAAGATCTTCAGATGATGTGGTGCTGCAATGAAGTAGCTCCGGATCGTTATTAATTCAATAATTAAACATCTTATCTTCTTGAAAATAACTCGAAATTGAAGCAAGTACGAGCAAACAGTCAAACAGGCGCATTCTAACAAACAGTTTCTATAGTAACGATGCAGAAAAACCACTGGATGCTGTGAAATTGTATTGGAAGTATTGATAACATCAAGGATAAAATGTATGGAAAAGGAAAGTATTATTTAGTTATTTTGGACTTATTTGTTTCAGACAGGAAACATTTTTTAATATGATTTCATTGAAAACATTGAGTAATAGTTTCAAGACAACAGTCGTTTGAAAGCCATAAGTTATCGGGATAAAAAATTACATCAAGATGTATCGGAAGTATTTATTTTTAATATATTTCAGACGATGTAAATTCACATTCACAGTTGAACAGAAAACATTGTTTGTATTTTGTGTATAAAATTTTTGTTTTCATGTTAAACAAACTTTTGATGTCGACCTGATTTAATACAAAAAAAACATATTTTGGCAACGCTTTCAGTGCGTTCCACTAAGCATTCACAACGATTACGCTCACGATCGCAGTAATTCCCGTTTTACTTGCTTGCGAGCGTTACTGTCGTGAACTCAAGTGGATTGCATTATGGAGCGTTTTGGGCGTTCATGTAAACATTACAAATAGTAATNTGCTTTGTGGCCCTAGATTATTCTACTTTGGTCATAAAATATATATGAAATATTTATTTATTGTTTACTAAGCAGTAGGTATATTTCAAGTTAGTAGCTACAACGATGGAGACTTCTAAAATAATATGTAGATTGTGTTTAACTCACAAATCGCAAGAATTTTGTCTTATAGATGATACTACTAAGGATATCCTGGAAATAATTCTTCCAGATGTGGTAAGTTTAAACAGGCCAGGCCTACTATATTGACAGAATATTCAAAATTGTTGTACTATATGAAAATATATTCATGATGTTTTTTAGAATATTGGAAACTATAATGTATCCCTGTGCCAAGCCTGCTACGCATTACTGCAAGAATTTTTCAAATTCAAATCTACTTGTCTTGAGATTGAAGATACTATCCATAATTATACTTGTGGAGGCCAAGTCCAGGTGGATTTAGAGAAGATAATTGGCTTGAAGGATATTGATACTGAAAAGAGGGGAAAAATATGCAGGATGTGTTTAGAGTTTACAGAAAATGATTCATGTTCAGAATTGGATGACGATGAACACAGCTTATTAGTGCAGATGCAGAGGAAGTGCATTCCTGAAATGGTAATATTTCTCAAATGTTTTTGTCTCTTCTAGATTTTCCGACCTGGCTGCAGTATTTAATTTATTTGATCTATTGAAAACACTTTTTTCAAACAAAAGTACTTTACCTGAACAAAAGTAGATGACTCCTGATGATATTGAATTGATAAGTTAAACGTACATTGGGAAAAGTGTTTTCAATGAATTCATTTTAAACCAAATATTCAAATCCCATTTACTCATGAAATTCTATTTGGAGAGAAATTAATTTTTGTATTTAGGTATACCTTATTGCTGATACAAAATTCTATGGTGATCTAACCCTATCCTATTCTAGTGTGAGTGGAAAAAGAGTCTTTTTTTTATATTTTCAATTTTAAACTCTTTAGGTCTTGGCATACACTGTAGTGTACAGCAATTCAAATCCATTCTAATACAAAATTTATTTCGATTATGATCATTGCCTCCCTGCTTACACTTGAGTGTATATCGTAATATCATTATAATACGTGTGGTGCCATCTGTGAGTACAGAAATGAAAATTGTATATTTCATTGTTACAGCGATGGTGTAACAGTTGAGACTAACTGTTCAAAATATTAGTAAACTAAAGGTAGGGAGATGGATTCTTATTATTTAATCGTTATAAAAATAGATTTTGACTTCTCTCGTAATGACTTTTAATTAATATTTTGACAATTGAACAACTTTCCGTCGCTTGTAAAAGATTCTTAAACTTGTCTTCATTATCTATTTCTGGGTCGTTGTGGATCTTTTTGAATTGTTCCCAGATCCCAATCCAGTTGTTTACGTTCCCATCGAATTTAGTTTTTTTGTATTTTTTGTTGAATATAGACACATATACTGTTGTGTACATTGAGTCTTGGTGAAGTAAGTATACCTAACCAATTTTTTGAGAGTTTATATAAAGGGTATTCTTTCAGCATTTTTTTTTCGAAATGAGTGAATTCCTTTCATATGAAGAGCTTGTTTACTAGTTGGTATTTGATATTGATATTTGGCATTTTGAGTAAAGATGATGATGGATTGGAAGTTGATTCTCATGTACTAGAAGGTAACTGGGAAAAAGGATGTTGTGGACCTTTTGCATTTTCATGCATATATTGCTGGGGCGATCAGGATTTAACAATAAGCAAGTAACTATGGCTTCTAATTACATGGGTATCAGTTCAACAGACCAGAAGTTATCATAAACTATAACGTCAATATGGGTGGCATCGATAAAATGGACTTTCTGAAAACTATTTATAGAACTACTATTGGCTCACGTAAATGGACCCTTCGATTGTTTACTCATGCCTTAGATCCAGCTTGTACAAATGGATGGCTTGATTATAAAGCTGAAGCTATAGTCCTCGTACTAGGAAAAATTATGTTATGGACCTTTTGAATTTTTCTGCATATATTGCTGAGTCTCTTATTGGTACCAATAAAGATATTCGTAATAAAAAAATACAAAAAAACGGCTTCTGTAAATGTGAAATATCGACCACAGGAAGTACATCCTGTGGATGAAGTCCGATTAGATGGTTACAATCATTTGTTTACAATTGATGATGAAAGCTTTGCATCCCATTGCAAATTTCCCGAATGTAAGAGCAGCACACATAATATGTGTCAAAAATTTAGTAATGTACATTTATGTATTGCAATAAAACAATATTGTTTTTTGTTATATCATACTACAAAATGAAAACTCAATAAGTAGATACAATTTTTTGTTGCCAATGTTTCAGGAAATCATAATTTTTAACCTCACTTGAGCGCAAACATTTGCTGCAGCTCTCGCTCCTGAACTAAATTTACAGGGAGGTCAGTTGGAGTCGTAAACTTGACATCCATCTCCTATTTAGACTCGCTCCTGAACAAAATTTACAGTGAGATCCGTTGGA